GTTGTTGGGTGTTAAGTTGAAGTTCGTTAATTGACAAAGTATCAGTATTCTACCTTAATCAATCGATTTTTCTGCCTTAATCAAATAATTTTCTAATACGAGCTCTCCGAAATAGAAGAAAAGGATTAATAACTGTCTCTTATACACATCTAGATGTGTATAAGAGACACGGTTCAACTTATCCACGCGACAACATTTCTTCTCGCTTCGAGTCACTGACATGTGGAACAGCCTCCCTGAAGATAAGCTGTCTCTTATACACATCTAGATGTGTATAAGAGACAGAGACAAGGCCATGCATGAGCATATGTTAAGTCTTAAAATGCCTCGTACCCTACGGAACAACTGATATCTAGAAGCGATTTTAAATCTACCGTCCGTAAGGCCAGTCTAGTCAAGAAAAGTACAAGAATCAGCGACAGGCCTATCCAGGCCTATTCTTTAATGCCGAAGATACTAGACTATACTATAGCTTCCATACAGATATGCTCGTAATCACATCAATTACATTGACTTCCTCACTTTTGAACAGGCCCCATCCCGCAAAGCATCCGCACCACTCAAGACTCCTTAAGGGGGAGGTATACCTTCCGGAAAAACTTTTGTTTACAGACGGATCTTTCTGAAACTTCACACACATATATGTAAAACCGCAAAAGAATCACATTTTGTTCGTGTAATTTTTTCGAAAAAATGCATAGAAAACGTGAAATTCATAGAAAACAGCCAAAAATGGGGTACTACGGAAAAGCCTACTCCTCCTAGAGTTTTAAAGCTACAACGATGAGACATATACCATTCCATTGGTAAAGACCATACCAATCGAGTAACGAGGCCCGATTTTTTATTTTTGCCTTTGTTTTTTTTTTATACGCATTTTTCCATTTTTTTCATTTTTTCTCATTTCCCCCCCCCTTCCCCCCCATTTTGAATCAAAACTATGCACAAATCTAAAAAAAGGGCCGTGTTACTGCATAGGTGTGGTCTTTACGAATAGAATGGTATATGTCTCATTGCTGTAGCTTCAAAACTCTAGGAGGAGTAGGCTTTTCCGTGACAAAAAGTTGAACTTTTCAGGACAGCGCGACAAAGTTCCGTGCGCCTTGAAATAGACACTCAATGTAGCATAGAGACCAAACTACAGGCTTCTGTAGCCAATTCCACTCAAGGAAGCTAGCAGCGTCTTGCAGCACACGTCTCCGTATGAAGCAAGCAGGGTAACTGAGCCTTGATGCCAGATTATGCCCAGATACACCACTATATGTAGTCTTAGCGAGTGAATTAAGTCCTATCTATTTTCTGAAGGAAATCCACCCCCGCCCCCCTTTAGAGCCCAGCTGTGTGCGTTAAAATTCACTCACCGCTATCGCAGTAGTATCGTTGGAAAGCTCAGAATGTCAGCTTTAAGATGAGACTAAGCATGTAACTGCAGCACAAATCAAGTAGAAACTATATTCAAAGATTTCAGCAGCTAATTACTTTATATCTAATTAGTTAAAGAACTCTCCCACCCGCTTCCCTTTAAAGAGACGTCATGAACGTAAATATTTACGTACAGACATGGCAGTGGTACCATTGGAAAGAGCAAAATTTCAGCTTTAAGATGAGATTAAAACCCAAAAATGCCAAATCTGAAAATTTTAGGGTATACCTCCCCCTTAAAAGACAAGTTACTCCTCATTCAATTATACAATCATAGCAACCTTAATTACTAGTCTCCACCAAGCGGACTTCCGGCCAAAAACCAATCAGACAACTACGGCGCTCACTAAAGACATTTAAACATGCAACACCCAGTGTTGAATCTGGGGTTACAATGCAGAATCTACCCGATCTTAGTTCACAATCCTGTTTTCACAACGAACTCTATTTTTCTGCTTGATCTGACTCCAATAGATCTTAATATATTAATTAGTCAGTCGTCAAGTACCTATACAAAACTGGTTTACATTAATTTTTTCATTTATTTCGCTCAATTGTTCAAGAACCCCGAAAATTGATCACTGTATTTATTATCATCGCTTTCAATGTTAAATTTTGCCATAGTAAAATTCTATTTTGAATCGCAAAAGAGCTGCTGGCGGTAAACAAGCTACGAAAACACATTGGA